GTTTGGAAAATGGTAACTGCAAGAGGGATTTCCCGTACTGTTTTTCGAATCTCGAAAAACGAATTTCGGAAATTAAAAAAATTCCGGATTTCCAAGTAACGGGAAATTGCAAAAGGAAATCGAAATTTTCGAAAAAAAATTCCGGATTTCCAACAACGAAATTTCGAATTTTCAGAAAAACGAAAACGGAAATTTCAGGTGTTGCACTATTGCGATTTTCCACAACAGAAATAGCGGGAAAACAAAATCCAAGAAAAGGAAAACAATTTCGATTTTCGGCAGTTAGGTCAAAATTGCGATTTTGGGGGCTAATTAGTGTGCTCTAATCAATCAATCAATCAAGACTAATCAACTGATTAGTCACTGCACACGTGTCAGATCAGGTTGCCCTGATTCACGTGCGGTGTTCCAATACCAACTGATACATGCCCAGTTGGGCGATGTACATATATAGCCAAGGATTCGCAATGTGATGAAAAGGACTGAATGGACAATGCAGCAACAAGCAGTGTACATCCTGATACATACAAAAATGGTGCTTTGTAGCGCAGTGGAAGACTTAGATAAAAGTCCTGACCTGACGGGGACTGACCTCCCTCACGTAGTACAAGACAGCGTAGTGAAATGCTAGAATACCAATGACTAGCCCAACCAATGTTGCAATGCAGACCCAACACACATCATCCTCATCACAAGGTGTGAAGGGGCCTGGCGCTACACACAGGAAGAATGCGCCAGGTCCAGATAATCCCTCGTCAAATGTCTGAAGCCCAATGTCGAGTCTGGATCCAAATGTCATCAATCCCGCTCTCTCTCTCGTAGTCTGCTGATGCAGTGAAGTCAGGTAGCGAGAGGGTGCGAGGGAGATGGTGGACTGAGCAGAGGAAGAAGAAGAACTCTCTCTCTCTCTCTCTCTCTCTCTCTCTCTCTCTCTCTCTCATGTGGCAGGTGCTAACCTGTGAAGATGGCGCTGTGCTGCAGGTACCTCGAAGACGAAGCTGGAGCCATGGCGCTGCAGGTAAGTCTCCCTGGCCTCCGCCCAATCTCTCTCTCTCTCCAGTACTACTCTAGCTCCTACTAGCGCCCA